GTTGGAAAGGAAAAGTCTTATTATTCCCACATTTGGTTGATAACACTCTCAGGGGCACGAGATTATTGGACTTGACCTATATTATTCTCATCTCCAACAAAATTTGCTTGTCCAGTATACTTTCCTACTGTCTTTATTGAAAGCTCTGATTTGTATTTAAGGGCGGGCTCTAGGTTCTATTTACTGACCCAGTATTTACTAAGTGCCACCAGTTTTAAGTCACACGACATCCATTATGTCATGGGAGACATGGGATGGAGTTTGCTTTGTTTTTCATACCCTCATGTAGGAGTTTGATTATGTTGGTTAACTGATTTTCTTTCTAGAACCCAGTACTTTTGGTCACCAATACTAAGCTAGTTACATGGATTCAAGGCAGATAATTGAAACTCTCTACTGTTTGGTGAACTACTATAAAGTATATCACCAAATCAACAAATGTGTTCTACAACACGTGTTCATTTCAGTTCCTTCAATAATGGACCAATGTCCTACTTACATCAGCCTGACTGATGAACCTACACACAGCTTTAATAGGATGTCCCTTCAGGTTTCATGATGTCACTTTTTTTTTTTTTTAATTGAAGTGGTAGACTAGAAAGGTCACGGGCTTAAGTGCTGACCTCTTGCTGGATTGGTGTGTGAGGAGCTGGTGTCATATTGGAAAGATAAGAGGGCCTCTCTCCAGCACATGGAGAATACAGCTCTGCTCTCACAGCCACTGAGAGCTATGAAGGGATCATCTTGCCTCCTGAGCTTCATTTTCCCTCACACGTGAAATGAGGAGGTTAGATAAAGGGATGGCTAAAGTCACTTTAAAAGTTCTCCTGTGACTTGGGCCCTGGAGATGGCTTAGAGAACAAGGGCACTTGCTGAATACACATGAAGACCATGACCTGAGTTTGGATCTCCTGGATCCACTTCAAAATGGGCATTGCTGTCCTGTAACAGGGATCCCAGCACTTCGCAGGGAGCAGGCAGGAGGCTTCGTGGTGCTTGCTGGCCATCAGCCTAGTGGAAAAATAACAAGCTCCGGGTTTAATGAGTGAACTTATCTCAAGGGAATAAGGTGGAGTGCGGTAGAACAGGACCCTGAATACTCTGGGTGCCTGTGTGCACCTGCATGCACATTCACGCACAAACCCCACACATACACAACACACAAAAACACACCAACACACACAAACTCTGTAATTCTTGGAAAATGTATATCTTTACTTGTCCTTTTGGCAATCTAGAATACTAGTTTTGAACTCTAACTACGTCCCTTCTTTTGTTGAGTCTTTGTTGTGTTGTGTTCCAGGTGAGTTTGATCCTTCCTGGAATGCTTATCATCAAGGACTTCAGTGGGGGTTTCAGAGAGACCCTGGGAACTTAAATGCTTTGGATAATAACCCACTGAAAGATGTATTAAATAATAATGATGGTACTCCTGGGGAAAGTTAGCTGAAAGGTGTTGGGTTTCTCGCCACCTAGCCACGCCACCCCTCAAAAAAAAAAAAAAAAAAAAAAAAGAACTGAGTTAAAAAGAGAGTTTGATCCGGGACTCTATGGAACTCCTCGGAACTCTGCCGTGTCAATAGCGGCATTGTCCTGCTGAGGGTCAGGTTCCCACAGTTGGGGTAGGGCAGCCATGCTCTTTCCCGGACATTTTATCAAACACACAGAATGTGGCAGTTCTTTAGACAAACATATGGTTTTGTGTTACGATAGCTTCCACTTTGTCAGAAGCCCCTCGGAATCAGAGACGTCCTGTGTGGAGCAGCAGACACTACACACACATGTCCCCAAGTTCAGGGATGCCTTATGTGTTTACCTAGATAAATCACCCCCAAGTCTGTGTGTCTAGCATCTGAGTCAGTCTCTCACTGAGGGTATTTTTAACTCCTCCTTACTCCTCTTGAGTTCCTTTAAGGAAGTGTGATCCAAAAGGGTCAGATACTTGGCTTGTACTGAGGGGAAAACTTTGAGAGAATTCCTGAGGCTCTGGAGTAGAACTGGCTTTCCCCAAAAGAACTGGCCCTTCACAGTGTCTTTGCCACATAAGGGCTTGTGTGAGGCCCCAGGCAGGGCTGTCTTACCCGCGACAGATGGTCAAGACTTCAATTTCAGCAGCAAGTGATCTGCTGCCGAGGGGGTGGGAGGGGGAGTCTGCCAGCAGGCCAAGTGGCAGGGCAGCTTAGGGTAACAGCGATCTGGTGTGTGGCCGCCATAGCTTTAACGGCAAGCTGGTGTGTGCCCGGCGTAGCTTTAAAGGTGATCCGGTGTGTGCCCGGCATAGGTTTTGTGCTAATGATGAGCTGCTGACAGGTGTCCAGCCCTGCTCATCTTTGAGGCAGAAGATCCCTGGCTCCCTCGATGCTTTCTCTCTCTGGCAAAGCCAGTGTCCTGTTTGCCTGTCTTTCAAAATCCACTTTGGCACCAGATGGCACTCCTCACGGTGGCTAGCAGTTGTCCGACTTGAGGATGCCAGAGGCTGTGCTGACAGCTCCTTCTAACACAACCTGAATCTGGCTGTCAGGCCTGGGCTCAAATGGCTTAAACACATACAGGCGGCAAGTATTATCAACCACGGGGAGACAGGCAGGGGGGCCCACTGGGGGAGACTGGCCGTGATAACCCTCCCCAGCTTGCTGTTGCCTTGGGAGGGGTGGTGGTTAATAATCCTGTGGTTCCCCTAGTAAAACCATTGTTCTGTCATTACTTTAATTTCCACCAGCGGGGCAGCCAGCATTGACATCTTCACTGTAGTTCTATCGTTACTGACACTGTTGTGGTATACTGGTTCTGAGCTCTGCCCCTCGGTCCGCTGCATCAGAAGTTAAATTCTAGACCCGCCTTCACTCACTTTTGGAAAAGGCAACTGGATGACTGATTCCGAGTGTCCTCTTGGATCATACAGGGTGAATGGCAGGGGTTATCTGGGAGGCTAGAGAGAAGTGTGTTTAAAACACCCTCAAGCTTCTATTCCTGCAGCCTCCACCATCCTGAGCTGTGTTAGGCACTAGGTAGCATCTCGGCTCATTTTCAAAGTTGCTGTGTAAGGTGCCTGGTCTCATTGTATAGATGAGAAAAGTTGAGGTTCAAGTTGAGGTGCCTCTTTCAAAGGCACATGGGTAGTACTTGCTACAGTTTGGCTGTAAATCCCATACTGGGTACTTTTATAAAAGCTGTGGCCTTTACACTTTACTGCAGGGTACCATACCACACAGACACTCATTGTCATTAGAATGGGATCACCCCTCTCTGGACCCTGCGATGGTTTTCATATATACTTTTTAAAGTATAGAACCCAGCCCAGCACTATGAGGAACTCACGACCACTCCCCTTGGCATATTTGATAATGTTTGAAAGCCCCATGTACTGGTGCGGTCACTTTCTGGGGCTCAGAGGAGCCCCGCAGTGCAAATGCCCTGTTGAAAGAGGACTGGTTGAGAGAGTGGCTGGACAGCTAACGTGTATCAGCAGAGCTGTTTTGGGCGTGGAGGAGGCCCCGGGGTGGATTCCGTTATACACAGCTGGACTTCAGCAGTGTTCTGTGAGTCATTCATCCTAGACAGGAGGTCGATAAACTTTGGCCTCTGTGGAGAGGCCCTGGAAGTGGGGTGAACCATTATCAGAGGCCTCCTCATTGATGGGCTTTGGGGCTGTGTAATGTTAAATGACTTCATGTAAGAAGGTTCTCACACTGTAAAAAAATCTTATCATTTTGTTTCAAAAAGTCATTGTTTCTCTTCAACGCTCCCACATATTCCCATCCTGGAGGATTCTAACAGACCAGGGAGCACAGAGATTGTATATGGAAGCTGTTTGAATGTGGTGTGTGACTTTGTGATAGAGGATCAAGGGGGCCCCTCTGCTGACATTGTGCTCCAAACTAAATTCAGACTAGCATCAGGGAATGCTCGTTTTGCTTAAGTTACTGATATTGAGTTGACAATTTTATTCTGGTGTAGCCCTGACATCAGGCCAAAAGTAAAGAAAAAGAGTATTTCTAGAAGCGTTTTATTGACCAGTATTTTAATGAATTTCATAGAAATATATTGTCCCCAGAGTAAAAAAAAAGTAATGTAGAAAATAGGTGGCCATAAATTTCTTCTCTTTCTCCCAGATAGAAAACAGATGGAGGGGGCTAACAGAGGAGGACCAGTATGAACGCACTAGCACAAAACTCGCCATACCTACTGCATTTCCATGATGGACTTGTATTACTGCAGTGGTTACTCAGAGTGACCAAGTCCTGTGTCACACACATCAGGACAATTTTGACAATTCAAATAGATTCACCAATTTAAGTGGGATCTCTCAAGCCAATTGGAGACTATTGTCACCTTTACAAAAACCTGTGGATCTCACCATAAAACTTAGAAACTAAAGTGGGTAGAGAGGCAGGAAGGCCCACACTCAATAACAAATGGCTTTTGTGCAACAAGGCCAGTGTCTAAGGAAAAAAAACAATCTGGAGGATTGGGGAAGTCTTAATCATTATGTGAATCCTACTACTTCTCCCAGGGATGCTAATCTGAACATCTTATTTGGAGATGCTAAGATTTGAGGTATTCATCAGCTCTTTGTATTTATCCAGTCTGCACTTTGCCATTCATTATCTGTGAACTTATAACACTTAAATTATATGTTATGCTTGGGGACCATGGGAATTCTCAATTAGATCCATTTGGAGCCCATGTTAAATTATGGTTAAAGACCTGCTCTCTGAATGAAAATACTCCCTTGGTGTGTGTGTGTGGAGGGGGGGAGTTGCTTCTTTTGTGAGATCTGTTGGCAGTACCAAGAATATTCCTTCAGAAAGAATATGCCCCTTGAATGTAATATGAAGAACTGGGCATGAATGTAACACCGATTCTAACTCACACCACCCTGAGTATTGCAGAAGATGCAGGAAGAAAAGAGACCCCGTAACTAACCTGGACGTTATTTCTGACTGTGACTCCCTTGTTAGGACTGAAATGCTAACCGTGATCCCTTTGTTTCTCCCCAGATTCTTCCTGAAGTTTTTCCTTAAATGCAACCAAAATTGCCTAAAGAATGCAGGAAACCCACGTGACATGCGGAGATTCCAGGTGGGTCCCTCTTGCTTTTTTTTTTTTTTTTTTTTTTTTTTTTTTTTTTTTTTAATCTTAATAATGACTTGAATGTGAAGAGATGATGGGAAAACATTTTTGGCAGAAAGATGTGGAGTTTAATTGTTTCTCTGGAGGAGAAGAGCAGGTGAGGCCACTGGTCCCCAGGCATCTGCAATCTAGGAGTTGTTTTTCTTAGACAAGAATTGGGGCTGCACCACCTGCGCCCGCTGATGAAGGCAGCTGTGTCCTTAGAGCCTCATCTTGGCTTCCTGGATGGACTCACGTGACCAGACAGCCACAGATTAAGCCAATTAGACAGAAACGATGGCTTTATTCCCTAAATGTTTTCTAAGTAGAACTTTGCCGAGGAAGAGTAAGGGGTGAAACCAGGAGGCCCATTCTTGTCCTCTGCGCCCCTCTCACACAAGCCCAGCAGCTGTTGGCACCAACAGTGAACCCTTAAGAATCAAAACATGTCTATCCACTGTTCTGCTCCAGGAATGCCCCTGTGCCCACTATGTATGTATTACTAAATGTCTTCCAGATCTGCCACCCTTTAAAGCATACTAACCTGATGGGATTATACATATGTTAAAAGGTTGAAAACCTAAAAACAAATGGAGTGACGTCTAAAACACAGGTGTTTTAGGAATTCTAGACATAATACCCCTGCAGCTTCACATGCTGAGAATCCCTTAGGACCTTGTTAAAGTCCTGATTGAGACGGGGGTGGGTGGGGCTGGAAGTCTTTGTTTCTAACAAGCTCCCAGGTGGTGTAGAACCAGGAAACACATCTCAAGTAGCACAGTCAAGGCCTTTCCTTGCTTTGCTCTCCATCTCATTTTATGGGTAAGCTATCTGCCATGTCAGTGCTGATGCGTGCTTGCACAACCTGTCAGAGAGGCAGGGTGGTATTGAAAGTTTGCTCCTACGCCTGTTTAGTCAGCTCAAAGTGCGGTTTTCAGTGTACCGGCTCCAAGAGGTGCCCGAGAAATTTTAGCTGCACCTTCTCTGAGGAGAAATAAGGGAGGACATTTTGAGCATTGATTGTGGATGTCAGTATCATAGTCTTCAAAATGATTTTTTAAAAAAAGCAGCTAGACTTATTAGTCTCATTAAAGAACAAATCCAGGGGAAGGATGCTATTGTCTCCTGAGATCTTAGAGAATTTCTATAAAAATCGTCTCGGCCTTACCGCTTTTTGTCTTGATAGGAATGAATCCAGAGAATCCAATAAAGTTTTAGTTTCTTTCCTGGCCACCTCTTGCCTTCAAATTTTGATGCTACTGTTCAAAGCATCGTGCATCGTGTGTGGGGTTTTTAGCATATGTTCTTTGATAGCTTGTTGTAGTTTTCAGATGAGCTGTATGTTTTTTTTGGTCAAGTTTGGGTTAGGAACAAAGCTATACAGGCATGAGGCAATTTTTGTGTAATAATCACGCCTCATGACTTTGCCAGCATCAACTCTGCTATATTTCTCAGGGCAGTAGAAATGGGATGGACTTTGGTGACACCGTGGGCCTTCAGGAACATTTGTGTAGAGTTTTACAGGACCCACTATTGAGTGGTTGGTTTTAGAACTATAGCTCTGAGGCAAGACAGGAAGTCATTTCAGTATTTTTTTGAGCAAGGAAAAAAGGTCACAATTTGCTTGTAAGGCAGTGAGTGTATAATTGATAAAGTTAAGCTTTTAGGAAAAATTCTAGTGATACATTTAATTAAGCCCTTAATTTAGACCAGGAATTCCCAAGTTGGGCACAGTGAATCTTTAGACTGGACAATTCCTCTGTATACATACATACATACGTACATACATACATACATACATACATACATACATACATACATACATGTCTGTGTGTGTACTCTGCATTGTAGGATGCTCATTTGTACCCTAGATCTCTTAAGTCATAGAATAGCCATAAAGAGTAGAGAGCAGCCCATTTCCCTCAACAACTGAAGAGCCTTTTAGACATTGTTAGATACCCATGGTAGGGAAAAGAGAGGCAAAATGGTCCCGTCGAGAAAGCTACTGATTCTTTTCTAAACTTGATGACCAATGACTAAGTTTGGGGTGACATCCTTAGCCCTGCAGAAACTGCATGCTTAGATTAGGCACAATTGCCTTTCTACCCAATGTCCACACTGACCTTCAAATACACATGACTGATGCGACACCTGATCTATTTGCTCCCCAAATAGATCTTAAGTAGAAAGAGCTTTCTCCAAAGTAATAGCCATCTTGGCCAGCACAGACTCAAGACGATGGTTAAGAGAAGCTGTGTCTTTGTCAACCAGGGCAAACTCCTTATTGGATCTCAGGTTCAACCTACTGTGTTGCCATCACCCACTCTATGAGCAGTGGAAACTGTGGGGTGAAGGTCTCTGAAACCTGGTACCCAGGTTCAGTTTAGCAGTACAGATGCTTGGTTGAATCCTAAGCCACTGAACTCATGGTCCCCATTATTTTTTTCTCTTCTTGTTAAACTGGTTTCTCCTCCTCTCTTCTCTGTGGTTTATTTCTAGCTAACATAATTAAGTTCCAGGTAGATGGCTATTTATACCAGTGTCCACATTCAGTGAATTCCATATTTATATGTATGGATACTGTGTCTGCCTTTACATACATTCATGGACATTGGTGGTGGTAATGATGATGGTGATGATGAAGAAGATGAAGCTAACATTTTCTGAGTGCTTATTTCACAAGAGGTATAATATGAAATGCTTTACATGAATTGTGGTTTTCTGTCATAGCATCCCTATTAAGAACATACAAATATCAATTATTCCCATTTTCAGAAATTGAGGAAGTGAGCTTAGAGCAATGAAGGCATTCACTCAAAATTACACTCCTATCAAGTGGAGGTTCAAGTCACACACTGTGACTTGGATATTATCTGATGCTTTGGGACAACAAAGAATGCATCCAGAGTCTGTTAAATAAATACTTGGTGAGGCAACAGGCTATCTGTTAATATTCAAGATCCATAGTGATAACCTAGGAGTAAGTGACGGAATCGCAGGATAACTTAGAAAGGCTTCCCAAAGAGACTCGATGCATGAGGTTGCAACCCAACCCAAGTTCATGACACAGGAGTACTGCCCTGGAAGGAAAGAGCACTGTTACAGAAGATGGGCTAATCTCTGAGTACTTTCAAATGGTAGGAAAAATTGAAAATGTAGCAAATGTAGTTTGGACCAATTCTCCAGAAGAAAGCCTTTTTTTTACACTGCAGTGGAGTAAAGCCACCCTCAGACATCCAGAGAATTCTGTAAAAGAAGCCACAGAGGGCCTCTGAAAGGCTCTGCCCTGCAGACTATCAAAGCAGACGCTGAGACTTATGGCCAACTGTTGGGCAGAGTGCATGGAATCTTATGTAAGAAGTGGTAAATAGTAAGATCTGAAAAGGACAGGAACCCTGCAAGGAGAGTAACAGAACCAGAAAATTTGAACACAGGGGTCTTCCCAGAGACTCATACTCCAACCAAGTACCAGGCATTGAGATAACCTAGAACCCCTGCACAGATGTAGCCCATGGCAGTTCAGTGTCCAAGTGGGTTCCATAGTAATGGGAAGAGGGACTGCCTCTGACATAATTTGATTGGCTTGCTCTTTGATCACCTCCCCCTGAGGGAGGAGCAGCCCTACCAGGCCACAGAAGATGACAATGCTGAGATCTGATAGACTAAGATCAGAAGGAAGGAGAGGAAGACCTCCCCTATCAGTGGACTTGGGGAGGGGCATGCATGAAGAAGGGGGAGGGAGGGTGGAACCTGGAGAGGAAGAGGGAGGGGCTTATGGGGGATACAAAGTGAATAAAGTATAATTATTAAAATAAAATTAAAAAAAAACAACAAAGAAAAAAAAAAAAAAAGAAGAAGTCATACTGAGGATCCCAAATCTTAAAATCTAAAGAATGTGTGTGTGTGTGTGTGTGTGTGTGTGTGTGTGTGTGTGTGTGTGTACATGCATGGATGTATGCATGAGTGTTCCTGATATTGACTATAAAGAGTCCTTACAAACAATCGACATTTTCAATTTCTGTAGCACAGAAATTGAGACTCCAGTCTCATGTGCTTTTTACGTCCCTGTTGTCCATGAGAAGAACTGAGAAAGTGTCTTTTTGGTACGGACAACACTGATCCGTTCTTTGCATACCAGTAGTACCAAAAGGCCAAGTTCCAGAACCAAAAGTTCCAAGTTTCATAGGCAGTCTTCATGGCCTATGAGGCAGCTCTCATCAGGTGCCTTACTGTGGCTTCTCTTTTGTCTTTTTGGTATGTTTGCCTGTCTTCACACAGCCAAGCCACTGCATGTCTTCTCAGAAGAGCAATCAGGGGCTCATGTAGGTGACCGAGGCAAACATAAGAAAGGTTGTTGGTCTCCTGACATATAAAGACATTCTGTCAAGCAGACTTAGCCTCATGGCGGCTAGGCTTCTGGTGTGCAAACAGAGCCTTCTTAATTATACAGGTCGTGTCGATTAGTGTGACCTGAGTGTTCGCAAAAAAAATTAATCACTTTCTGAAAAGCTTAGGAGGGTGGCATAAGCCTTATAGAAAACCTGGTACAAGCCTGCTTTTTGTCTTTAAAAAAGAAAAAAAAAAAAAAATATATATATATATATATATATATATATATATATATATATATATATATATATATGTAAATCCCTAGGCTATGGTTAAGGTAGCATACTTACTTAAGTACAACAGTGGATACCAGCTTCATTTAGTTGTTGTGGGCACATCGGGGACAGGTAAAGAAAGGAGGGGGGGCAAATTGGGTCTAGACACAGCCCACGACACAGGGAGCAGTTCAGTGTAACTAAAAGAGCCCATTTCTCTATCTTGACAGTAAAAAGATGCTAATGTTAAGGGACCATGTTAAAGCCATGTCACAGTCTGGCTTTTAACTGACAGGAGCCAGACAATTCAAGGTTAAGATTTAAATCTTTAGCCACTTTTTTTTTTCTTGTTGGGACTGGCAGATG